CATGTGGTGCTGGGGGATTGAACCACAGTCCCTGTGCTTTGCTAAGCTTGTTCTAAGTAGGTGCTTTAGACCACTGAGCCATCTCACCAGCCCTAGGCAATTCTTTTTATGATTGTTGGCATTTCTTTTTCTTTTCTTTTTTTTTTTTTTTTTTTGCCTGAGAGATTATTTCTGATCTGATTTCTTTTATAGCCTGATAGAGTTGTTTCTTTAATTCAGTTGCTATCATTTCAGAAATTTCAGGTGTGTGACTTCTAAGATCTATGTGCTTGTCTCTTAGACTTGTTCTGGGTGCGCTGGAGGTCTGAGATTGCCTTTTGCTTCTACCTTTTTGATGTTTTTGAAGCTCCCAAAGTTCATCCAGGCTCAGAAGTGATATTGAGGGGTCAGGGAACAGATCAGCAAGGCTCCCATGATAGTGGGGGTGGGGTGGACTCACCAAGGCTCCAACAAAGGAGCAGGATATGGTGGGCTGAAGCTCAGTGAGGTTCCTGTGGTGGGGAGGAGGGCTTATCAAAGCCTCAGAAAGCTAACAGGTCTCAGCTTGATTTCCACAATAACAGGAGGAGGGAGACCAAAGCTCTACAAGGCTCCAGCAAGCAGGGGGGATGGGTCAGGGTGGCGAGCTATGACTCACCAAGGCTTCTGAGAAGGTAAAGTATGGGTGACAGCTCAGCAAGGTTCTTGCAGGGTGTGGACATTTAAATATTCACCATAACACTGCCTATATGACAAATGTTTGGCCTGGTTCCTTGTAAGAGGTGCTGGTTAACTTTCAAAGTCCCATAAGTAAGTTTGACATGTTGTGTTATAGCCCATAGCAGGTAGACAGGTACTTATGTACAAATAGACTACTCACATGGAATCTTAGAGAGTTATCAAAACTTGAGAAGTAAAGCATTATTGAGTGTATCCTACATGTAATCACTGTACTGTACTAAAAGTTTTATCTACATTATGTCATTGAATTCCTAAAATGACACTGAGGTAAATAATATTCTTATTCCCATAATACACATGGAAAGTGTGCTCAGATAGCTTAGATAAGTTTTCTAGTGTCTGTAGTCAGTAGATGACTGTGAGAAGATCTGATCCCAGCTCTGTCTGATTCCTACGCCTTTCTTCTTAAACAGTATATATTGCTACCCTGCATGGTATGACATAAAATCAAAGTGTGAAAGCATGACATTATTAAAATGCTTGCTGTACTTGTCAACTGAATTTAGTGAAAAATAAAAATTCCAAAAAGATCCATAAACCATCCAGATATCACTGACGAGTAGAAAACTGAAAAATTTGCTGCCGGCCTCAGTAAGTGCCCACTACTTGCATTCTGAACCCTCAGAAGTGTTGGTAATTACTATCTTTCTGAGAAGGTCTTTTGTCAGGAATTTTTGCTATCAAGTGAGACATCCATCCCTTAAGAAGTAGAAACCTTTTTATTTTATTTTGTATTTTAGGGAAGGGTCTACAGGGTGTTCAGGGTCTCACTACTGATCGGACTTGTAGTGATTCGCCTGTAAGAAGAAAAAACCTTCTGGCAGTACCTCTCCCTAAAGTCCCTGAGCCACTCACTGGGGAGGCAAGCCTGGCCTTGCCAACAGCTCAGTGCAGCCATGGGCAGTGTGTCAGAGTGACAGGGTCCAGGAGATGTCACCCCAAAATATGGCAAGCTGGCTTTTAAGAAAACAGCAAAAGCAAGATGACAACCCTCACGCTCCTTTCATGTATTTTCTCTGCCGCAGGCTGCAGGCTTAGAACGTTTACCCTCTGACCTTCTTTCTGCCTCTTCCTTCCTCCAAGGCCCTCTTGTGGCAGGTGTTTACTGATTGTCCAGAGGAAGGAATGGTGCGCGGGATCCCCGGTAGAGCTGACACACAGGCCTAGCTAAGTTGCCCTGTCTACTAGCATCATACTCTATCTTTTTTTTTTTTTACACTCTATCCTTTTGTTCTCTAATCACACTTTGGCAAAACATTCCTTGTATCTGGATCTACATTTCTCAAACCTCCCATGTCACATACAACTTACATGAAGTACATGTATGTTTTTCTCTTGTGACTCTGATTTTGTTTTGTTTTGTTTTTTATTTATTTTTTATTGAGAAATAAATATGAATGAG